TATTATATACACACATGGATGGCATGTCAATGTTATATCTATTTTTTACACCATTAAATCTAAAGGAAACATGTATGTGTATGACAACAAGCATTCTTGTAAGTCATACATGGTCTTTGTTAAATGTTTGGACAGTGTTGTATTCGTGTTCTGGAGGTGAAGCACAAGTGCTTTAAGATGTTGTGTGTTTATGGGACTGTGTGGTACACGGTGTCATCATGACACTGTCCTACTGTATAAACAAGGGCATGCCATCAGAATGGCTGCAAGTGATTCAATTATGATCTAAATTTATCTACTCCACATGGTGCAAGAGGTGCAAAGGGACATTAGAAATGGATCGTTTATTTCACCGTCAAGAGATGTACAGTTCCTCTTTTATCCATGACGAAGATATTATGCACCTTGTAACACACTGCACTGTTTTCCAAACAGAAAGAAAATGTCTTTCTTCTTTTTTTCCCTTCTGTGATGTCTCAGTGGGTCGTAGCTCCATTGGCTCTATAACTCTCAGAGGGAAGCTAGCGTCAAGCTACATTAAGATTATAGCCTCATGGATTTCACATTAAATGACTTTTCTGTAGAAAATCTCAAAGTTATTAATTTTGAATCCTAACAAACTACATCTTAAAATGTACATGAGCTGCAGTACAGTCTTGAGGCAATGCTGTTGTGTCACAGTCTGGAGGGCTGTGCAGTAATTCTAATGTTTGCCGTGTTGGGATCTGCACCATGGGGTGGGGAACAAAGAGAGCGTTTGGCCCACAGGAGCCTGCATTGTCACAGCCTGATTCGAGTGGCGATTACACATTGCCCCCCCACCAGAGTAACTCAACTCAAGGGCAATTTTTCTCCCAAAATCCAGCTCTGAGTTCTCAGTTCAGCCCTCTGTGTGGCCCTTACGTCACTATCAACACAAAATAAATACAAAACCACCTCCATCGGATCGTGGTTCAGTCCAACTTGAGTTTGTGAAAGGAAGTTAAGAAACAACGTTGCTTTTAAGTAAAATCCTAACTAATATTCTTTGATTTCACTGGAAAAATAATAAACTGTGTTGTAATTGTTTTTTTTGTGTGCTTCTGTTTTTTGGTAAGGAAGACAAACTCCCTTCACTTCCCAACAACTTCCGCCGCCAGAGAAAATGTATTGCCACATAGTTTGGAGCAGCGGCATCAAGTTTAAAGGAAACTCTAGAACTCTAATCAACACCTATTTATCTCACAGCGAGAGGCTTTTTACTGACAAGAGATGGGTTAGATAAGTGTAACACCAATAATGAGAACTTATGAATTTCTAGTTTGGTCATTGGTCCCTTATCTCAGAATGGTGCCCAATTATTATTATGCTTGTTGAATAATCTTATCTTATTATCCTAATTCTCTTGGGGTCAATAATTTAGTTTTCATACTTGATGATAACCAAACAGACTCCTACCAATTGTACAACAGCTGCATTTCTATCTGTGGTGATAATGCAATGAGCCCTGCAGTCTGGCAAAAAGCAGTCATGTGTGAGCAGTAATCATGGGGTGTCAATCATGTGCCTGAAGCTTTCACTCAGGAATCAATCAGCCTTGGGCGGCTTACAGGCAAATCAACCTTTTTGCAGGTGGACAGGATGGACCGGCTGACTGGCAGCTTATTCCGTCTGTCAGCAGACAATTCAGCAGAAATCGAACACTGACTTGGTGCGAACTGGTAATAAGAAAGACTATGACTTTGACCACCACCAAGAATACATTCAAAAGCTTATATATATATATTTTTTTTTTCTATTCTTATATTGTTTGGTATGCATTGTGCATCCGTCACCTTTGATCAACTTTGCCCGGGCCGGGTTCATACTGAAAAAGCCTTAAAAAATGACGTGGGATTGAAGATCTAGGGGTTAAGTGCATCCTTATTGGTCAGCATATGATGGTTTCCAGTCTTTGTAATATGATGCTATCATTTGAAACGGCCGGGTTAGTCACCGGGACCCTGATATTAGAATAAAGGATGGTGCAGTGTGGGATCCATTTATTCATACCCTTCTATCTACTCCACACAAATAAATCTTGAATATCACTCGCGCCTCAGACGGACCAGGGTATTACCGCTTCGTGGTTCCAGTGCCCCCAAAAGAAAATAAGAGACCAATTAAATGCCCTTTCTGTTTCCTGGTAACAATGCCAAATGTTGTGCTGCTGATATTTTGTCATTGTCTTCCATGCTGCTTCAGATCCAACGTGCTTCGTAAACATTTAACTGCCGTTTTTACAGAGCTGTTACGCGTCATGCTGATACACACTGGGTGTCTGTAACAACCCCCTTTTTTTTAAATCACAGACTTTGTAAAATCCGACTGAGAGTGTGATTGGTATTTAGCAACATAAAGCGATGGAGCATACAGAGAATGTAAAAATGTAATGCGCCCCCCCCCCCCCCCTTTATTCAATTATTTTTTGCTGTATTACTCATTTGAACTTCACATGCCGTCAGGGCACAGAGGCTCAATCTAGTTGTTATTTAACATGGGCTCGTGACTGGAAATGCCGGATTGACGAGTCTCATGGCCTCTGAATGTGGGAGATCCATCATTGCAGCATGCATGGATTGAATGCATGTCATATGAAGGTTCTGTGAGAAATGTGCATCACGACAAAGACTGGAGACAGTGAGCCGTTACACCAGATATCTTTTAGTAATACAAGGGGACATTATTAGTTACTTAAAATCTTGAAAAAGACTTACAATATGTGTGATGTCAGAGGATTGCATTCAAACTCCAAAACAAGTGTCAATGTAATGTTATGAAAGCTATTGGTGTGAAGTTTGTTGCAGAACCATGGTCGAGGCTCGCCGAAATTTCTACAATATCATTTAGCATTAAAAATGATGAGACTTGATCCCATTTTCAGCTAAAGTTGTCCAGAGAATTATCTGCAAATGCTCATACACCTTACAGAAAGTGGCGGTGCCAGCTACTTTTCTTCTGCTGGGCGTTTCTTGCAACCACAGAAATTTTTCAACACACATGTTTGCATCATAGAATAAATGATAATGAAAATGAATACAAACCCTTAAAAATGGAGCGGGGATCTGTGCTTCTGGAGTTATTGATGGAAGTCCCAGTGGAGACTCCCAGCGATGTTTGGTGTGCATGCCCGGAGGCAATCTGCACAAAAATAGTAGGATTACTAAAGATCCTAGCAGTGGTTTGGCTAGTCATATCTCCTTAGGGAGGAACACTGTGCTGTCTTCTCTCACTGTCTCTCAAACACCTGCATGCACGTACTTACACACACACACAGAATAAGGAGAAAAGCAAAGGCTGTGTCATAGAGAAGGAGAGAAAAACAAAAGAGAGGGAGAAAGATTAGTTGTCTGTGCTGTGGTGTCTAGAGAGAGCAGAGCACACAGTCTGTGAGAGACTGAGAGAGAGTGCACACAAGTTTACGGGAAGACGAGGTCTGCAGCTGCAGACGCTCTGTTGTGGCTCCCGTCTTTGTTGTAGTTTTTGTTGCAAATGACCAAAGATAACATAGGTGGGATGTCAGCAGTTTCGGATAGACATAAAAACAGCTTTGTTGTCTTGTTTTTAGCAAAATGTCTTTCCATCTTCCTAGAAATTCTTCTTGGACTTGTATGAAAGTACCTTTGGAAACCATTAACTGCAGAAATTATTATCAATATCCAGTTAAATGTCACTTCAGCGTTGTGTAGTCATGGTAACGGTAAATATATGGTCTTTAAACAACTGTGTGTGCGCAGAAGGTTCTTTCAATTAATGGTATTAAGAAGAGTGGGATTAGAGATGAAATGATGAAGTAAAACCAATAATTCTTTTTGTATTTTTCAAAAGGAGAAGGGAGGAAAAAACAAAAACTTCTCCCTTGACTCATCTAAAACAATTAGAACAACCAACAAATATTTTAGCTATTAAATCCCTGCTCTCCCTCACTCCCTGGTCTATCTTTTAAGTTTGTGTCTACCTTATAATATGGATGGTAAGTGTAATTGCATTAGCAGCGCGAGAGGGCAGGTCATATGAGGTTAAACAGGTATGGAATCGGCGTACTAATATCCGGCAGAAAAAACAGGTAAACTAGATCTGCAATAGAGGGTGTGAAATAGTGATCAATACCTGTGGCTTCTCAAATGGTGCTGTTGTTGTGCCGTTTTATGTGTGAAATGCGTTGCAAAACTATAAATGATTATTGTACCCGGAAAGTGGGATTTGGAAAGGTTTGAAACAGAAATACTTTGTAGTCACAGAATTCATTCATTCTCAAGCTGTGCGTGTTTATTCATAGTGTTTCTAAAATTGATGCACATTTCAGTGCACCCATATGGTGAAAGTTGTTGCAAATGCGATGTGTCTCAAATTTCTTTGGGTGGACCGATGAGGAATTTTAAATGCAGTCCTCAGGAAAAATCTACATTTTTAATATAATTTTTATAGATAATCACAACCCAGGACACATTTGGAGGTGCCTCAAAGCCATTCCATTGGTGAATAATTCATTATTAAGAAATGAAACTTTGAACTAATCTAATTTAAATTGTAATCTTTTGGCAAACCAACCAACGGTTAAAGGACCTGGTGTAAGTATCCAGAAGCTGTAGCAGTTGCTGCTTTCCGATCTACTTAAAGGAAGCTCTTAGCATCCAGGTCAGAATTTTCACATTACACTGTGAAAAGTGAGAATCTCTTGCTGTGAATGCATGGATAATTGAAATGACTGATGATCAATACACATGATATGGGACATTGTAAAGAAAATGATTTGCATAATAAAGATGTGTTGTGTCTTTGCATCTATGTGTGACATGGGAATGTGTTCAGGTGTGCAGGCTTTATGAGTGTGTGTGTGTGTGTGTGTGTGTGTGTGTGTGTGTGTGTGTGTGTGTGTGTGTGTGTGTTTGCCTCCATTTTCGTTAGTAAAGATGGTCTTTCTGATTCCATCTCGGTCAGGCAGTCATTGTGTCCCATGTCTTTCTCTTTTTTTTCTGCCTCGGGCACCAAGAACAATAATGAATGGGGTTAATGACTGTCAGATTGTGATGCTTTCATTTCCCCATTGACATCTCCAATCCCCCATTTACATTTCATATAAGGAGAAGCCGCTGTCTGGGCCCACATGTGAAAGGCCAGGCTGGATTAAGGTATCATCGTGATGGTATGCTGCCCTATGGACAGACAGGCAGGAAGAAGACCTAAATCCCTGTCTGGAGCAGAGCAAGGTCTCAAGCTGCTGGTAAGCTCTAATCAGTCTCACCCTCTGACTCGCAGCTTCTCCCTCCTGTCATACCTCGGAGATCAGGCGTGATGGCATTGTAATGGTTGATATAATTGCTTTGTCCTCTACCCCCCCTTCCTCTCTTAGTTGGAATCAACCAAATGAAATGAGGTGACACGGGAGGAGAGCATGAACTCCCTCTGTCAAAAAGCCTAATGATTTCTGCCTCGTGACCATAAAGGTAAAGTCCAATTGGCAGCAATATGTGGTTGGTATAGCTTTCAGTTTTTCCCTCACCCACACACATCTAGTAGATCAATGCAAGTCAACTATTTTGTACAGATGATTTGCAGGAAGTAGCCAATGCTGACTGAATATGTTGTTCTCTCCCTGTTTAACAGAGCTCACAAGCCCTCAAATCGTGTTTCAGTTCTGCAAGCTTACTCCCCGCTACTGTAAGCAGCCACTATCAGAAAAGGGAGCAAAGATGGAACAGTAATCCCACCAACGGAGACAGTTGTCGGGACTTTCCTCCTCTCCTCAAGAAATACTGCGGATAAAGTGATATCCTTATTTTCTCTGTCACACTTAAGAGGCAGAAGACGGTCATTGTCGTGGAACTATTCTCTTTAGCCGTGTACGTGCGGATCACCAAAGTGCCTTGTTAGTATGCAAAACAATGCATCATATTTTTTTATCTCGATTACAATTGTGAATGGGGGAGGAATTGGGATATTTCTGCGTTAAACAATTTGTTTCTGCTTAAATGGTGACTGATTTGGTCCCGTGGCCTTTGAGACGAGCGGGGATGAGGATTTATTGAAATGCACGGCGGAGCTTGTTCCTGGCGGCCCGCTCTGCTAAGCAGACCCACTTCACCATAATAAGAGGTCATCCTTGGGGGAGTGTGGAAATGTCTATAATTATAAAGAAATGCTTCATCAAGAGCTGAGACAAAGTGAGCAGCCCGAGCAATATTTAATAGCCGGCAACTTACTGAGACTCATATTCTGAGAAGCAACATATTTAAACACCCAACCATCTAATGGAAGGACTTTCTATCTGGTTCCTTGTGTTTTCCTCCCATCCTCATGTGCATGTGTCATGAGCATCCATATCTGTATTGGTGGTTGCATCAATGTACGCCATAAACTTGGAGTCTGCCTGTTTTGTGAGGCATTTTGGATTTGTTCACCTCCTAGTTAAGATGAGCTGTAAACCACTTAGTGCTGTGGGCATCAAGTACTTAATTGTTTTTAATATCAATGTTATTCATCTTCTCTGACAGCTCAATTGTGGCACTGATGCGTTGTAAGATGGACCAGCTGTGCTTTTGCCACATTTCGCATTCTGCTTCTATTTTTGAGGTGCTATGTTTTCATACTGATGACATCTGAGTCTGATTTGCTTCCGGGAGATTACAGCACTGGGCAGGAATGCCTCCGAGCAAGGACAAAATTATTTAGTTTTTTCTATTTTTTTTATTTAAATTGAGCACAATGCCTCGCTCAGCAAACATATCAGAGCAGCTGGCAATTACCACATCTCCAGTGATTGTATCTCTGTGGAAATTAATTGCTATTTTCATTTAGTTTTTTCCGTTGACAGGTCCTGACAAGCTGAAGAGATGCCTCCAGTGAGAGACGTACAATCGGGCCAGAGATCACACGCATTATGTTCACTTGAACTTCAGGGTGGGTTATCCTCCCTGAAGACGAGGACAAAATTGCAGCTGTGAAACCCTTTTCTTACTCACTGAGATCATTACTCCGATATGACTGCCACTGTAAATAGTTGCCATTTATTGACAAAAACCGGACCTCGGCATGATGTTGTTAGATTTGGTCTTGTGAAATAGAGTGGACCAACATCACCATAGTGTAGGCCAATGCTTCTAAAAGTATCGGCCGATTGTTTTCATTTTCATATCATCCAACCTGCAAGTAAGCGGCGAGGGTGGATGTGACTGCATTTGAGTCACTCTTGGAATAGGACTAGACTAGAAATGCGCCATACAAGCACAACCCATTTACCCTTTATGTTCGGTTTCAAGGTGAATTCTTTTTGATGGAAAAAGTAGTTCTCCCAATAAGGACAAGCTGGTTTTAGTTAGTGCAATGGGTGTATGGATGTCCATTTATGAACACTGAAGAAAGAAATATGAAGGTCTTCTCAGCTATTTTTTTTCTTCGTTCATTAAAAAAAGACAAAAAACCATTAGTTCCCAAAAAGATGATGACGATGATCACATGGTTTGAAATTGGAGCAGAAGTAAAAGGCATTACATGCCATGTCACCGTTATATTGACAGTTAACTTTTTCATTTAATTGTTTCCTGGTATTAGTTTTTTCTCTCCAGCCAGGAGCAAGGATCGCTTACACGGGTCAGAGAAGAGAGGGAATGGAGTTTCAGTGGAGTCGACAGGTTGCCACATTCCCCCGTGATATCTTCAGATATGGCCAGAGGGAGAAAGAATTAATGGCATCACTGGAGGCCCCTTTGAAACCTTCCAACTTGGGATAAAATCGCTGTGTACGATCTCTTTGATCGGCAAACGGTCAAACGACAGCCCTGCAGTCGCCCATCTCCCCACATTACCGCCGGGAGCCTTATTCCCATTACTGTTCACACCCTTCCGACTGGCTACTGTTTGATTTGCTCACCAAACTGATCTTCCTACAAATAAGCTTTGTGCTTTGCCGCGATCTACCCCTCTCCATCCCCCGTCACAAATGCTCTGCAGCAGTAACTCCCCCTCTTTGCACGCACCCAGCCGCCCACGTACGTTCAGAGATAAACAGTAGGTACTGCACATCGCACGGTCGTAATTCCAGCAGTTTAACCTTCTAACCCGCCGTAGGCTTTTAATCCCATTAGTTTCTTGCCTCCACAAAAACGATCTCTACAAAGTCAGATTCCAAATGTAAACACATAAAGTGGCCAATGGCTTTCTTATCTGAAAACACTAATGACCAATGATCTGTGCTTTTACTTCAGGTGCAGGGGGGGGGGCTCTGAGACTGAAAGTGACTCATTGAATTACCCTGGCCCATCTTGACACAGCGCAGGTAGCAGTCAGGTCTTCAATAGAGGTAAAGTGACAATAGGTACGTTATGAGCATAAAGGCTGCATCTTTGCATGAAATCAAGCTGTTTAGAGGAGCAAAGACCCAGAGCTGAGCAGGAAACACACACACGCAAGTATGAACATGCCTGCTCGATAGCCTCACACATGATACTTTTGCATGATTGAAAAAGAGATAAAATTTATACAATGTTCCGTTCCATATGATGATTCAAGGAAAGCTACACTTTGCATTCATCTTTTTTTACTAATGACTTTAAGAAGTCAAATAAAGCCACTCTACCGGCAGTCGTGACTGATCGTTGTACTGCAATAACCATCAGTTTTGTCTTCAGGAAGAGGCCGAACATCTTAGAGACAGTTCTGTGCAACCTGTTCTTTCAATATCAATTGAATTATACTCCGATCAAACAAATCACAGCTTGTACCAAACAGGGCTTCTCCAAACAGGGCTGTGAGTAATGGATTGGAAAAGACTGTGTTTGATTACCCCTGCTTGCCGGGGTTGAGTAAGAGCCATTTGGTTGGTAGTGCGGTGGACAGCCTCCAGATATTGACCCTGTCTTTAAGTGGGCGCTGTGCTTTTAGTGTACTTACGTTGGTTTTTCCAGATCTTTCTCCTCCTGGCAGTTTTGCAATACTTTTGATGGCAGACACTGGCTTCCTTTTCCCCACTCTGCATTATTGATGCATCAGGGAATGTGGATAGCCTACTTTTTTTTGTCATCATTTTCTAAACCAGTAAGGACAAAGATAACTATAATAGAAAACATGGGGATGTATATACTGTATATCCATCAACCAATCCACTATCCCTAACTTCTCATGCTTTTCAGGGTGAAAGGGCGTCTGGAGCCGAATCCCAGCTGACATTGGGCGAATGCACAGGGAGTCGTCGCAAGACTATCGGAAGGCTGACACAACTAATAAGGCTCACATTTACACCTACGGGCAATTTAGAGTCATGCTCTAACAGGGGTTAGAGGAAACCACGCAAGCATATAAATAAAAAGGGGATGATAGACAACTACCTATGTGTAGCATTTAATAGAATTTGATGTTTTCTGCTCTCAAAGACCAAGACAAAGAAGAAGCAGATGGAGGGAACGGTTGCTAAGGCAATTTAAAAGAACAACGTCAAGGCTTTGACCACTCAGTTTTTGGGGGGATTATTATCTCTGAAGTTTGCACAATCAATTCGAATGGTAAGTCATGTAATAAATAGGTATATGAGCTGAAGCGAATCAAAATGTGACAGATGATGATGGCCTGTAGCTCAGCATGTTCTCAGTTTGGTCTAAAGATGGCAGTATTCTAACAGGAACAGAGTTAGATGGGGAGTGCAAGTATACTGAGGTGTTGCGCAGACGAACTCTGGAAGAACATTTTATTTTTCTATACACAACGCAATTGTCAGCTATATGTCAATATTCATGGTCTAAATCATAACGTCGTTTACAAATATTTCCAGAGGGAATGCATATGAAATGTGTGAATCATCCCACAGAGAATTATAAAAACTTTAAATTAGAATGAGTTCGTTAGATACTTAATGTAACTTTTTTGGTATCGAGTTTTTTTTTTCCTTTGGTTACATGTTCGGAACATTGCAAATGTTTTTTTATGTTGATGTGTTTTATTTAACCGAGTGCTCCAAACGATTTCCTTCCCGGTACAATCCTAAATGTTGTATTAGGATTGCATTTCAGAAATCCCCCTCGAAATCTTTTTTCTATAAAAAAAAATGTATCCATTATTCATCGTTTTTCTTTGGGCGGAAACAGTTAACGCCATAATGAGCCGGGGTGTGAGGGGGGCCGGGTTTAAACGCGCAGTGTGCCAGTGTGCAGGCAGGCAGGCAGCGTACACACACACACACACACACACACACATACACACACACACACACACGCGCGCACTGTACTGTATACTGATGGAGCCGCTAATCTCCGTCAGTACGGCGGAGCCCCGTGAGAAAGCAACGCTGTCGGTCTGAGCGCGCGCCTCGCCGCGAATTCTACCCCGCCGGACTCGGTCGCGAGCCCCGGACGCTCCGTTGCCGCCCCCCCGCCCGGAGGACGCTCAAACCCCCCTGAACTGAAGGAATGCGCCGCTTCACGGAAACGGCGTGAGTCGGGCGACACTAAGGAGGGTCGGTCAGCCCCGCCGCGAAGTTCACGCGCCGAATTTCCGGTCACTCGCGGCGATAAAAAAAATGCTTCTTTTTAATAGACGCGCACTTGAATGAATGACGCCGCCTTCGCACGCTTAACGCGTCCCGAGAACAGATGTGTTAAAGGAATTTGGAAGGAGAAGTGAACGTGAGCTCGTTTAAAGCGTCATCCGAAAAGCGAGGTTTTGTAGCGTTTGTTCATTTAAAAAAAAAAAAAAAATTGTTACAGTGGATGTGAGGTCCATCAGTAACGAGCCAGAGGACGAGCCGCCGCGCCGGAAGGAGCAGGACGACCGGGACATCCAGCTTAAATGAAGAGGTGAGTGACGGTCAACGCTCGTTAAGCCTCAAATAGGCTCCGCAATGTGTAAATATTGGTTCACCTCGCAAACTACAGCAACATAGCTGGGCAATTGTGTGCTTATTTCCGACACTGCAGACAGACATTTTTCGACATTTTCCTTTCTAGCCTGCGCGCGATTCCCTTTTTGAGGTCGCAGCCGGTTTTCAACATGTGTAAATATGCAGGGAATATATGAATATAATATATTAGACTTTGACTGTGTGGTGCTGATGATGTGACACCGTTCAATGGATCACGGTAGTTTAGAACAATATGCAGGTGGTGTCATTACAGCTACAGTGGACACTGCTGGTGTTGAACTGGAATCTCTACTGCCATTTATGCTTTATTCTCATTTATTAGAGATTTGCTATAATCTGTTCTACAGAGAGGATCAGTTGCCAACAGCCATACTGACGAGCTGCTTTTTGGTTTGTGTTTGTGAAATCGTTTTTTGGACTATTTAATGCAGTTGGTTGACCAGTAGTATTTATTTTTTGGGTAACAACCATCACAATTTTGAATGATTTAAATTTAACTGACCTTGATTTTGGGGGCAAAACCTCAAAGATATTCCCCATAGTATCCACTTGATCAATATTCACGCAACCCTTCAGATTACACCTGGAACCGTATTTTAGAGGTGTTATAGTGGCTGTTGGTGGGCTGCAGATCTGGATCTGTGTCTGGGACTGCAACAAGTGAACCTGGAGTCCAATCACACTGCTATATTTGTCTGTTATTATACGCCTAAAAACAAATGTGCTGTGAATTAGTTTCAAACGGTCAGTGATAGTCTGTGAGTTCCCACCGTCTAAACAATTCGTGCTGGTTTGTTCTCTTCTTAAGTGATGCAAGCCCAAATTGCAACAACAACCAAACCTCAAACAATCTGATAAAATTGTCGCCAACTGGCATCAATTTAGGATCCCAGATTGGCGCTAGACCTCCTCCGTCCCAATTCAGCAGATGCACCTACAAATCTTCATTCTGTCGGGCTGCCAGCGCTCCGGCGGGCAGCCGTGACAATGACTCTAAAGAAAATAAATGTTGTCTTAAGTAGGAAATTGCCTTACATTTGCATGAAAATAACTTGCATCTGCCGCGGTTGTCGGGTAGCATATTAATCCCTCTGCTCGTGCAATCAAAACCCGTTCCTTCTTGGTGAGATCATGGTTTTGGTGCATGTGAAGCGTGACCCGCTCTCATCATTATTTTAATATCCATCTCAAAGTGAAACAGCAGTTTGACCCCAAAGCAGCCACCAGGGTGGAAATTGCTGCCTTTGGAAGAACAAACCAGCACTCAGCATTGGTTTGATTATCACATGGTGATTATATTCACCTAATTAACTCCAATCTAATGGGGGGGAGGGGACACATTCTCTGAGAGTGCGGTGATGCTGCTGCACAATCAGTCCCTCTGACCAATTGGCTGTTCTTATATGCAACATTTTACACAGCAGTTCACAGCTTCGTTAAAAAATGTCCAAAATTAACGGATGGTAACCTTTAAAATCCCTTTTGAAGACAACATTGTACAATAGCTGTTAACAAAGTTATTCTTGATAAGCTCAGTTCTTTTCAGAATGCAATGAATCACGGGCCATTCGCCTTCTTTCTTAAATCGAGAAGGATATAAGCAAAGATTTTCAGGGTGCAACTCAGTGAATCAATGGCAAAGTGAGGCCTTTGAAGGCACGCCGTCCGAGCGAGCCTCTGCAGAAGATCACACGTTCGTCCAATCAATATGTTACCCTCACCAAACTGGAAAGAAATTGCTTGAACTGGAAAAACCTAGGTCCAGCTTTTGTGGAGCAACGGTTGATGTTTCCCCGCCGCTCTCTGTGTTTTCGATCGGCTTTACTGTGCAACTGTGCGGTGTGCAAGATATTCTGTCCTTTACGACTTATGGTATCCACATGTGCCCAGGGGGAATCATCCGGTCTTGTATTCTTTAGTAGTGGTGTTTTCAGCAGTCCTCAAACGCAGGATAGTCAGGATTGTGCAGGATCTCAAACATTTCATCTTGCCTCTCGGACTATGAAATTCCATCCAGCCGCACAAGGCTGCCTATCGCCATAGTTACCGCAGCCACCGTCGGCCTCCATCAGTATACGCGGGGCGCACTCCGCTGATGGAAGGCGCGCGTGGCTCGAGAGCGTCCTCTGTTGATGAACAGGAAGGAGCCTTAACGAGGAGCTGAGTTAATTGTGGGGCCACAATGCGAGCACACGGCCTCTTTTCCACTTGGACCACTCAACAACCAAGATGACATTATCAACAAATTTTTTAACTGCATGATTCACCACTGAATGTGTTGTTGCTGCCTCTGTGTGTCTGTGTGTGTCACCACCAGCACTCGCACAGCGCACACTGCCCGCTCCCCTTCGGATTCCCCCCCTTAAGGCAGCCGGACTCACCACAGTTTAGCTTGAGAGATTTTGACAAGTCGATACGCATGCAGAATCCTTGACCTATTTCTTAATGAGTGAATACTGAGAATGCACTCAGCGGCGGGGTATTCTAAACAACCCCCCACCCCCCCCCCTCCCCACTGCCCCAACTGTCTTTTGCTTACACACACATGCAAACACGGCCGACACATGCAGATAATGGTGCTTTTGTGAGTTCACCGACTCGTTCTCCCACAGATATAGGTCCTCCCCTTTCTGTCCGCTCCAGTGTACAAATAGCGAGTGTTTGTTTTAATGCAATTGGCTCCCGTCTTCCCTCACTGTAGGCTGTTTATCTGAACCTCTCAACTGTCCAGCTGTCGCAACAGAGATCTCAATCTCCTCGACCCGCGCACACGCTCCACTCGCGCAGCCTTGCTACGTGCATGTTTGTGTTTTGGGGATCGGCGCGAACGGCGAGCGTGTGCCGATTGACACATGGGGAGATCTGGATCTGCGGTGACACTGATCAAGTGGAGTGCAGCCGGGGAGAACATTTAGTCTGAGAGGGGTGAAAAGCGGGGGAAGATCTCAAACCGCCTCGTTCTCTTCACTCGCACAGCGAGAGGCTTCCTTTGCATCCTCTTTCTTTCCTCTGGATAATTGTAAACAACGTGAGTTTCTCTCCAACGCTTCAAGCTCCAGATCCAGTAGAGATAGCCTCCAGGCGATTATTATCATCCCTACAAGCGCTTATTTTTCGCTTTTGTTGGTTGTGGAGGCAGCACTCTGCTGATATGTTGATTCAGGGGTGTAGGAACTGTCTCTCTGAATCAGGGATACGATGACACAAAGCTTTGTTGCAGTGATACTGATACTCGGTTTATAGGCAGGTATCAAGCTAAACATAAACTAAAAGAGCCTCTGCCTTTATTACACCTGATTGCAGCAGAACGGAGTGAAGACGTGCTCCTACTTGTATGTTTAAAAAGATACGATATTTGCTGACTTATTTACTTAATGCGGAGGCTTGAAAGACGTGTTGCTGTGCCACGTCACGCCATGTCGTTGCGGTACAACACACT